GTGGGGGGGGTCGGCGTGGGCCCGGAGCCGGAGTTCCCGGAACACGTAAGTAAGTTCAAGTAGAGCTTTTTAAAACAAACATTTTAACACGGAAGAGTAGAAAAAGTCCATGTTTTACCTGCCAAAATCGATACCTCGCCTTAAAAACGTTGTGTTTAGCCCGCTCTGTCTCTTGTGGAACACCCTGGGTTTATGTGGATGCCTTAGCAATAATTAAACTTCGTAAGAGGTTGTGATGATGCGTTGTGCTAGGGGTGTGCTATGCCAGAGATGTGTCCGCGTGTTTGTGGCCAATGGCATTTTAAGGTGGAAAAAACACTCCGACAGAAGTATTTGTTTGCTGAAGCCAACGGGAAAACCCTTGGTGCCGAGGAGATTCTCAGTGGTTTTCAGGATCAGACCCACAGACAGGTTTATAGATGGATCATTTTTATAAAAAAAACCACTTTTTCCAGAAATAAATTCCAATTGCTGCGGTTAAGATGTGCTACCCCCACTGTCTCCTCTGAAGTCCCCTCAAATGACAGCATCACGCATCACGTTCGCTGCCCTGACAGAAACACCATAATGAATGTTTTTTAGCACAAGCAGCTGTCCGTATGAGGCTATCAAACAGTTCGGAAGACAACTGCCCAGCTGCTTTTAAGAAGGTGATTTTATGAGCACAGGCGGGAGGAGAGCCAGCTCTCCTCGTGGCTTTACAGGTCAATCACCAGTTCTCTTCGAGCCAGACCTGAAGCTAAAAACTAGCTTACCTTGTTCAACACTTATTACGCCTCATTAGTCTTATCAAACATTCCGGTTTTCATATTTCATTCAAGCAGACGCATTTATGCCAAACATTTTTTGTTAGATCTTTTTTTGCCTACATCCAGTGGTTAGAGCTAGCCAAAGCCAGCTGGCAAGCCCAGCTACCTGGTCCTTTGATGCAGGTCATTTTTCTGTGGAAGCCTTCATGATGATCCTGAAGTGTGACTAGATCAAAGTTCGAGTTCAGATGTATATGTGCAGTTTTGGCAGTCACTCTGAATTTATTCCAGTGTAACTCTAACCAAAACCTGGCTTGTGACTTTCAAACAGCAGAATGCCGCCTTCTTTCTTTTGGTAAAGTTCTGACTTACTTGTAAGGAAATGGGAAAAGGTCTGACAGTTCCAGGTGGGTCAAAATACAAGTAAATACATTTTTGACTGCAAATCTAGAAAGTTCTTCTTCAGTATGTATTGTCTAATATATTGTACTGTTTACAACTCCAGGAAGCACAATGGTCTTTTCACAATGCAAAAGTAATTGGAGCTCTTTTTGAAAAAATTTTAACTCACCATTAACGCACTGCAGATAACAGGAGGGCGTACCTTAGCTTGCTGAGAGAATTGAACAACCATTGATTTCTACAGATTGCTTATAGAAACAGAAGGTGTCTTGGAAGTAATCACTGTAATACTAAGGTATCATGATGTGACTGCTGAAGTTGTGGCTGATACCACTGTCTGGTTTGGTAGGCTGGGTAATGGTGGCAAGGGGTTTGGTGGTGTCAGTGGTCTGAGTGGTAGTGGTGGACTAAGGGATATTGGTGGATCAGGTGGTTGTTGGGGGGGGAATTTGTAAGCCAGAGACATCACACAGAAAAAAATTGTAAACAAAAGAAACAGGACACATGAAAAAAATTACAGTTTTCATAAAATTGTTTCCTTGTAATAAAATCATGCAAGTGATTCCTGTAAATCAGCCTAGCCATTCTTTTTCTTCTTTCACAGATGTAATAATAAGTCGTTTTCTTGCATGGGATATTACATTTATCATACCCGAACAGAAGCACAAAGCAACAATCATACTACTCTGTTACGTGGTCATTCCGTCATGGATATCAACTTTGCCTGTGTATTTCCTGTGGAAAGACCTAACTTGTAGTTTCTAGGACTGAAGGCCAAGAGTGTAAGGAAAAGTTGTAAGAAAAAACGCAAACAAAATTCTGGTCAACATTATAAGTTGCATATCTTTGGATAAGATTAGCAAATTTCATAGACTTATTGCTACCTTACACTGTTATAAATGAGATAAAATTCTGAAATGTAGAGAACATTTTACCATGAAACAGCTAAGCTTTCGGATAAGAACATATTTCATTTTTGTAAACTCTCCCCCAACAAATCTCCAAGAATAATTCCTCTATCATTAATTTATTTTTCAACATAACATTGATTTTAATAAGGTTGCATATATATTAAGACTGTCAGATAAAGAGAATTCTGTGATCACTCCTAGTCCTAATGGAATCGTAATAGGAATAGGAATTGCTAAAACTATCTGGTTACATTTCTTAGTAAAAATGTTTAGGAAAGCGTTTCAGTGCATGAAGTTAAGTGGGTACTTACCATTTTCCTAACCTGGCAACAAAGTTCTGCAAGTGTCTGGAAGACTGATATTTTCTGACACTCATATTGACAAAAAAAAAGTGAATTAACATCGCTTATTTTGTGTTCATTTATGTGAACAACTAAACAATTTCCCTTTGAACGTATATTAAACTGTAGGTTCAAAATGTCTTTCACTATCTTCCCACATGGTGAAAGTTCAACTAAAGTAATGCTATGTTAAAGGTGCAGCTTACATCGTTTATGCATTAGTGGAATATCTTGCCAAGATTAAAACAGAGAGTGGAATGCTGTTCCACAGGTCTGGTTGACATCTAACCTCTTTAACTTTTATTCTACTCTTACAAAACATTTTCCTCTCTCTCCTCACTTAAAGAAAGTGTTTAGGAACTGTTCAGAATAAAAATACCAAGACCTAAATTCCAACATGGATAAAAGAACAGACATATTTAAAAAATATCTTTAAATACTTAATACCGAAATAGAATGTTCTTGAGAAAAGGTAATTATTTTTCTAAGAAGGAATTGATATGAAACATAAACATGCTATTTAACTAAAATTTCTTCAAGCAGGAGATTTTAATGAAATGGCTTTTGTATATGTAGGAATTTTAGGAAAAAGAATTTAAAGCTGTTTACCTCTGCATTATTGGTATAACCATATAGTATCTGTTTTCGACAGTATCTTTTTATATGTAGAATAGTTTTATTTTACACCATTCAAATGTCTGGTATTACTCGTGGTTTGTTGATATTGACAAAAACTAAAATGAAGAAAAATTAATGTGATCTTAGTTCCACATTGAAGTTGATACTCAATTTCTGCTTTTTCTTGTGTAACACCTAATATGCTTCTACAGAGTGCTTTTCCTCCAAGTATGGCTTAAAATGTCAGAAGGCATGTTTTGATTTTAAGAATAATGCCTTTCCTAAGAGTAAGTAACGCTTCTTTCAATATAGATATGAAGAGCAAAAAGAATGAAGAAACAGTAGATAAGTAGGACAATGTAAGACTTCAGAAAGGAACTGGCAGAAACCATGCTTCTGAGACATTAAATGTTAAAACTACTGAAATCACCCTGCATGATCACCTTAATAAGCATTACTGTGTTCCGGTTTGGGCTCTCCAGTGCAAGAAAGAAAATGGCATATATGAGGGTGTCCAGCGGAGGCCACCAAGATGGTCAGGGGTCTGCAGCATAGGATATCCAAGAAGAAGCTGAGGGAACCTGGAGAAGAGAAGGCTAACGGGGATCTTCTTGCAGCCTTCACCTTCCTGATGGGAGGATGTAGAGAAGACACAGCCTGACTTTTCTTGGAAGCACACAGCAGGACAAAGGCCGACAATCACAATTTGCAACGAGGAAATTTCTGAATAGGTATAAGGATTTTTTTTTTTTTTTTACCATGAGGGTGCTTACACACTGAAACAGGGACCCAGAGAGTTGTGGAATCTTCAGCCTTGGAGATATTCAAGCTTAACAGGACGTAGCCCTGAACAACCTGCTCTAGCTGACCCTGCTCTAAGCAGGGGGCTGGGCCAGATGGCCTCCAGAGATCCCTTCCAACCGAAATTATTCTGCAGTTCTAGGAATATTTTTTGATAAACCCTAAGAAACACTTTGAAAGGAACATTCATTATTGGAAATTTAATGATATAGCTGGGTTCTTGGGAATAATATAAACCTCACAAGTACTACACAGAGCATTTCAGGGTAGGCAGATTCTTTAAAGGGAACCAGTCATGCCTTAAATACATACAATATAGAGGTACTGTATTTGATACTTGAAAATAAGAATATGGCAAAAATGGACAGGAATGAAAGAACTAGCTTTTCTTCAGTTCTTCTCTCAGACATGACCATTTATCTGTGCATCACAGACTGCATGGCTGCATGATACACTACCTCACATCCAGTCTTTCGCTGATGAGGTAAAATATGCTGGTGCAAGCTCTTTCAGAAAACCACTTTCTCAGTTCCCTATCTTAATAATATCACATTGACGCAGCCCAAGTTTGCAACACTGCAAATCCAATTGGATGAACTGCCCGTGCGTCAGGCTAAACTGTCTTCAAATTATACTAGTTGATCTAATGAAACAATTTCTTCTGCCTGGAAATGACGTTTTGTTTGTGGTGGACCATCACAGTGCTGCCTTAGACATTCTTACCT